TCATTTTTTCTTTACGCTATCAGAAAGCGGTTAGTGAAGCAACTCGCCTTAGCTTGTTGAACACAACAGTCCGCCGAAATCCACTAACAAGAAGATCGTAATAGCGTACTTGCTACTCCGGTAAGTACACTAACATCACACGTCCAATAGCATTACTAACGAGTGATATGCTAGAAGGGTATACCCCATACTTAGTGCATGAAGGTCTGGTCCTCTGTGAAAATCTGCCTGGTTGGCATGCGTAAGCCTATTGCACGCATGGCTTTTTCAAAACACTGCATGTTACGGGGCTACTCTGGAAGTATATGCTGACCACGAAGCGTCACATGAGAACTCTTAGCTTAATTTTCTCTTAGTGAGATACGTTTGCTGTTCAGATTGTAGCAGCTTGATTAGAAGCATCTAGATATACTAGTGAAACGGATATCTTAGACGTGTGCTTTCCGTGCGCGCACCTGGTTGTTCCGTACACACATTTCGACTGCGTATGTTAGCAATTAATTGTTTCTTTGCCTCTTTAGAAAATGAGCACTGCATGCAAGTACAAAGCTTAGACTACCTCCTGCTAACGGATCGGAGAGCATTCAATGCTTAATGCTACTTGTGCGCTCGTGGCTCAAGTTGGCTACCTGCGAGCAATCGATTGTCATGGATGGTCACCAATTCACAGATGCTCGATGTTGGAGCTTTTGGACTACTTTGGACTTCACAATAAATGATCATCGGGTGTTGCCTTGGATAATCCTCAAAACTAGCTGCAACAGCATATGTTGCCTTCCAGCGTTGAACAAAGCACCCTCCGTAGCGACGAAATTGCACAACCTATGAAGCTTATGGGGAGGCGCTGTAATAAAAAGCTTGCTTAATAAGGCAATTTGGCTATGCGTGACTGCGTACCTTAGAAGCAGCGTGTGTGAAAGGCCCAACAAGTAGTAGGCACTTCTAGTCCAGTCCACAGGGCGATGCACAAGACAAGGCATCACGCCGTCTGTGTGATATTTTCAACTCACACATAGCATACATGGTGAAAATGTGCTTAACAGCTCTCGCAGAATCTGAAACCTTATCGACTTCAGTAAATGCAGGTCTCAAAGCCTTCCGCGAAGCATTAGCGCCTCCACACTTGTTCCAAATGATCGGTCGCGTCTACTTATGTGATGGGTAAGGCAGGATTTTGTGTCTTACCGTAGATATCCGCGGAAGAGTCTGCTTTCATCGTGTAAGTGTATGCTTCCACGTATGATAGCACTACCATTTTTCGTTGATCTTGGAGTGAAAAGGCAACAGAGCCTTGTGTCTAGCTCTTCAAGTCAGATTTTACAAGTGACACTGCTCAAAGATCTTCCAAGGATACTGACAAACCCAACAACACGCTAGCAAAAGCATGTTAGCTAGTGTGCGTGTATGCCGAAGGCACAGTTTAGCACAGGAAACGCAGTCCACACTCTCCCTTGGGTCCGCACAAATCATTCTATATGTGACGCTGCCACAGTTTGGCACTGAAGGTTTGCCCTGAAGTCCAGTGTATGGTGACTAATTGAGTAATATCCGCAGACAGACAGCACGCGGGGTGGCCTGTGAATTTTTCACCTTGTAGATTCACTTCAGCAATCATATTGCATACGAGTTGCACCTCCAGAGATATGCTTCTTTCTGCACTCTTCTAACAAAGTTATTTGTTGCGTTGACGACCGAGCCCGGTGTTAGCAGTCCTTGTGTCATATTTTTATGTCACTTTTTGTGTGCTTTACTACATAGGAGTTCCCATCTTACCAGGAGCACAGGAATCAAGTAATCCACAAGGATTTTGCATTCATGCAGTGACGTCTTGCCTATCAGTCTGGATAATCAAGGAACGCCCAGTAGGACGAAATGCCTAAAAATATCAACATGCCCTCCCCCAAACTCCTCTAATTTCAGCATCTGCCTACAATATGTGTAGCAATATAAAGAGCTGATGCACTTGGGAGGCTGAAGTGTACGAACGAAAAACTTCAGATGAAGTGACAGTGAACTTAGCTGAACTTAGCTTTGAGGTATATGCGTATCTGCCTAGCTGCATGCCATCTTTGAAATGTGTAAGCACTGCATGGTAAAGCATTTGGTGCTGGAAAATAAAAACCGGAAGCTAATGCGCGATGCACCCTAGTCTTGCGATATTCCTAAAATGTTCACGGTGCTTGTTCTACCCTCCACCCTTACGATAAGAGGGAGGACACTGCCAAAGAACCCGATGATAATATAAGCTTAGTGCACGTGCGTGTGCTTTAGGAGACCAATCTCTACCTTATTGGCTGGGCAGTTTGGCAGATCAAGGGACTGAATAGCCCTTGGACAGTTGCCAAACACCAGTACTGCTGTACAGCGGATGCAAGCACAAACTGCCATTGAAAGATGGAATTCTCAGCTACGCTTTGCTTCAAAGCATGATGAAAATTGTTGTACAGCATTTACCACTGGAAATTCATGCGTATCGCGAAAATTATCGTCGATAGGTATACACACACACCATGCAACGAATCGTAGGTCCTCACAAGCTTGACTACTAAAGCATAGGGCGGTGAATACTAAAGCAAGCATACCGCTATTAATCTTGAGTACAATAGCTTTACCTGAAGTTAGCAAGCTTATGGGCAGCTCCTTGCCATCGGGTTATTACACAGGGTTATTATCAGGTCAGTGAATCCTAAGCTAAAGTACAAGCGCTGTGTAACACGAGTGACAAGCACCTTCTAGAGGCACACTGTATACACAAAGTTTCCAAAGTTAAGCGGCATAAACCTCTAATAGCAAGCAAACAGTTACACTGTAAGTCAAGAGGGCCATTCGCAACAAAATGCTCCAAAGCACACCATAAGTAACTTTATATCCTGTATTATTCATATAAGCTGTCTGCCATCTGGCCGGCGAAAACAGATAAGCCATATTTCATGGTGCCGATGATTAACCCGAGTTGTGCACGGCGGCTGTGAATCCCTATCTGCGTGTGAATTAGGAATGCCATGACAAAAAGCCGAAGCGTATTCAGCGTGAAAAATTTTACGGTGGACTCAGGATTGATAATATATGCTACATGGGATACAATCGCGTGCTTCTGAACCATGCTTTACGCTATAGAATCAGACGCCACCGTACAGAAGATGTTTACCAAAATGCCTACGTCTGTCCAAATCGAAGTGGGCGATTCAGTCAGCGGCTATAAAAACGTTTGAACGCTTGTGAACTTGAACACAGATCTGTGGCATGTGAGCTTCACGGCTTGCATATGCCTTCTAAATAATGTTTGTAAATAGTAAGCGTTAGAAGATTCACGGCAGTCTGACTTTTTATCCAGTGCTTATTGCCTGCCAGCTGCTTGCCTAGGCAAAAACCATTCAAAGAGTCATTTGTTATCAGAGTGGAAACATTTTTTTGCTGTTGTAACACATTAAGTTGGGCGCTAAGCAGACTGCCCACGAATATCCCCAAAAGTTTGACCCGCTTGGTGAGCCACCATAACCCCACAACGAGTAGGCAGCACTTCTTATGTGATTATGGATATACTTGGCGGCATCCAATGCCAAATACATACAATTAAGAAATAAGACGCACTTTGTTAGCTAACAAGTTTTGTTTGCACTACATGCATGTACACTAAATAATTAGACTTCAGGGGATTGAAGAAGCCTTGCAACATGATAAAAGTAACTGAACCGTAATACTTGTATAAGAACTCACAGTGTGCACTATCAGTAAGATACTGCACTCCTGGAGATTCGCAGTAGGTACCCAACTAATCGAATCTATCTTCGTGAATACGTTTCTCAGCTGTGTACCGGTACCCGTTCTGCTTCTAGCTTGAGGAGGTGTGGTTCATCATTCGCAGCCATATGCTATTTCGAATCCCCATTTCGTAAAGCGAAAGCGCATGAACCAGCGGTATGGGTTGCAGGGCGGGGCTGAGATATGTCATCCCTGGAATATCTCTGTGAAGCAACCGTGACTACGCACTGTGATATAACGAACACAGCTTCAATTTCGCGATTTGTCACTTCAACAATATCCCTGCCTGTTCCCAAACATCCTCCACCATTTACTCGATCAAAATGGAGCAGATGGTAGGATCGTGTCTTCTTAGACATTGCAGCAGGCGAATCAATGAAAGAAGAAGAAAGGGGCCCATGTGTTTGGGCTTCAAAGTTTCCATGGCTGCCTGGTTGAGGCCTAGAAGTTTGCTGCACATCTGCAGTGTGTATAGCGATTTAGGGTTTAAAATATTGGTCTGAAAGATGCTGAATTTGTGCGGATTAGATACGAAAGCTTAATTTGGGAAGTGCATGTTTGGCACGTTTGGCCTGCTGGGGAACCCACATCACATCGCACCATTGTTGGATTAATACACCATTATGTGCGGGGAAAGAAATGAAAAGAGCTAAGTTTCTATAGCCGTACTGAATAATAATGGAAAAGTAAAGCAATCAACACTTGCATATACCAGAAGGCAGCCATCAACCACGTGCGCTAGGGCGGCAGAAGACCGAGGCGCCAGCGAAAGATGCAGTGGCTCCGGATTCACGTTTTCTTCGGCTCATTCAAAGGGTCTGCCTATACTTAGTCTGTTTTCATTTTTTCTCGATTGAGCGAGCAAGTGACTCATATTTTTCACTGCTGCACATCTTGCTACTTGATTGTGGCCGAAAGTTATCCCCAAAACACCGCGTCAAACCCTGTTTTGATACCCTTATCCTCAATCCTGAACTCTTCCATTTGTGTTGTATCGTTACTGCCTATTTGAGTTGGATGAATCCGGCAACATCATTACCAGTCAGCTCACTACACTCCTCAAAAAGCAGATATGCCATCCTTGTGTACCGTACGCCCACTGTTTGCCAATAATAGAAAACCCCAGCCTGTGGGGCCCATATCAGCACCGTATAATGTGTGTAATAACAGGAAAGCCGATTCGCATTCGCTGATCTTTCGGCTTTGATCCTCAGAACCTTACTTCTTGATTCCAGAGGATGGAACTGACAAGAAGATCGGGAGGCAGGAGGGCTGCACATGCAGGAACATGGTATGATGCAGACTGTAAGGCCGAATTCCTGAACTCAAAAGTATTTCAAGCGTGGATGGAGCAGGCTATGCCGAAGCACCTTTAGTAGGCCGCTCTAAAGCAAAGATAGCGATAAGTTGGCTGCGGTTCTGGCGCTCTCTGGAGGATTCCACCGTTTCGGGATCCTGGACTTTATGGCTAAGGTATTAGTGTCTAGGTCTTATTGCAGGTACAAGCTTGAAAAGTCAACTCCATTGCTGGTTGGATAGCTCCTCCAAGATTTGTGATGGACGCATAAAAGCCCTCATCTGCCCGTAAGCTGGACATATGGATTGAACTTTAGTTATCGGGATCAGGCCAGAGCTGAAGTTTACAGGCTAACTTCGAGTTCTACACGCTTGTCTACTTCTCTATATGTGTATACGGCAAGTTTGTTCGAGTCGTGTCCCCCCTTTTTGATATTAATGGCTCTAGATGCGTAGCCCTTGCAACATAACGCTTAGCTCATGGTCTGCATTTGCAGTCACGCGGGTCTCCGTTTTTCTGGATATACTGCTGCCTGCGCCTGGAAACAAGTGGATCCCTCTAACATGTAATCTTCAGCCGTAAAGCCAAACTTCAAGGCTGGTACCACGTTACTTCCGAAGTTTGCAGTTGTTTTGATTCCGTTTTTTTAATTAGTGTGGTAATAGTAGCCCCGGGTGTTCAGGTGTGCACTAGGATTGCGGGTTCTGATTTGCGGTTTATAGTAAGCGGATCTTTTTGCTTGGACCTTCCCACTATAAGTACTTCATAGGCGTGGCACTTCCCCCAAAACATTGCGAGGAGTATCTGACGCCTCTTGGCGGTTTGTCTCTTGACACAGAGGGTGAGTGACTGGACAGCTACATTTAGAGCAATGAACTAATGATTTCTGATGTTTTGTGAGTTAGACGGATCGGTTGCTGTGGACTTGAGAATATGTTTTGGGGGCAAGGCGGTATAGGCGACGGTTCTAGGGAATAGGGGTTTAAAATTTCGATTCTTTGGTATAAGGCTTGCGGTCTGAGGTGCGCGCTTAGTCCTGGAAGCGTTCCGTTCAAACGGGACTTTTTGTGAGTTGTCTCCCGCGGAAGACGAAGAGGAGCACAGCTTGGAACTCATGCTGCCGTTCATCAGACATATTTTCCCGGAGTTAGTTAATTTCTATTTTAATTTGTATTTTATTGCTCTACGAACCTGGCAGAGCACATTTTCTGGTCCTCTTCAATTTTATTCAAGGCTGAAGCCGTACTTACTCCGCATACATCGTATGCATGAGAGTTTGAAGTTTGCGATTTCGGATGATTGGCTTGCAGGGGCATCAAGATAATCCCAATGATTGTGGGGGAATTAAGGCAACAAGAAGAATGTCAAAAGTTTGCTGATGTACTTATCGATTACTTCTTGCATGACGTAAGGTTTTCGAGGTCACAGCACAGGATGGGCTTTTCGGTGGAGGGTTCATTCCTTTCTGGTCCTTAAATTGGGCTTGTAAATAACGAATTGAGCGGATGGTGTAGGTCTTGAATCGAGTATTCATTTGGGTAGTGTAAACTTGAAGTCCTTCAAAACTGTTGTATGTTGCGTGTGTAGGAGAATCTGTTCATCATTTCTTCCGATTTCTGCCACTGGGGGCCTCGGTAAGCTGCCCTTGCGGAGACGGAGTTGGACTTGAGAGTTACTGTTTAGGACACCGGACTTGCTATATTATCCGACTTTGTGTGAAAACAGGTATGCGTACTATTACTTGGAGGAACCTCTCGCCAACCTACCTATACACTTGAGCATAGAAGTGGGTCCAGAGAGTCGTACACCCTGTCTAAAGTTTAACCCGTACGACTCTGCCCGCATCTGAATTCCCCAATCCGTATGCCTGAACGTTGTGTTTTCGCGCTGCACTACTATACTAGTCGAGACACGTCACTTTTAAGTAGATGCTAGTGGAGGGTACAGGAAGCATGCAACCAGAGTGGAGTGTGATAGGATGGCAGACAGGCAGAAAGGGGGAAAAGAAAAGCGAAATTGGCGGAAGGATTAACAAGAGGAAGGCAGAATATACAGCGAGCACGAAGTACGGAGAGAGGACAGTAGACTGGCAGAAAGGCGTAAGACAGAGGTACCAAGAGACAGTGACAACATTGTGTGTCGCAGCGGATGGACAGAAATGCTATCAAGTTTATAACCGAGCACCAGAGCAGAGGTAGCCCCAAACCCCAATCGCTAACGCTTGTTTCCTGCCAATGGCATCATCACACAGATTGATATTCTGGAATTCTGAACTTTGAAACTTCATAGTCAAGGGTTTAGCGTTTATCGGGAAAATTGTGTGATTCATGATGCAGGCTTTTTCAATTACTTGGAGACGACAGGTCTTTCGATTTGCGGGAGGTACCCTATTAGCCTCTTTCTTCTGGTACAACTAACCAAACCCCAAAATCTGATTCTCAAGTCACAGGCTTGAATAGATTATTTCTAAGATACGCACTTCTTCTGTATACGCAAAGCAATAGCTCCAAGGCTGTTCTAGAATGTTGTTGACGGCGTTGCTTCCGCTCGTTTCTGGCGATGTTGTTGCCACAGCTTCTGGACACAGCTGCAGCCAGGAACGACAAAGGCTTTTCCACAAAGCTAATTGCGTATTCCCAGGTAGGATTCGATGCCTTAGGGTGCTGGTTATGCGCTTTACGATTCAAGGTACATAGCGTATAGCGATGCGCTCAGGGATCTTTAGACGCTTCAGGTTTCTAGGTTCTGCTTTGCTGTGCTTGCAGTCAAGTCATGCAATGACACGGAACGACTCTTCCGTTTCCTACGCCTCACTCTGCACAACAAGAGTTAGTTGTTAGGACTAGTGTGTTTGCAACACATTTTTTCGGCGTCAGGCGGCCTGTGCTTAAACGGGAAATGACTTCGAGGTTTGCCAGTCTTTATCTGCATCCGATTCACCGCATGCCGAGGCGATGCTTGTATTGAAAGAGGTAGCGTATATTCTCCAGAGCGATAGGGGTTCATGCGTGACACTCTTTATTTCAACGATGGCAGGCCAATTGTTACACAGTGAAGCCTAAGCTCGCGACGTACGGTACAATCACCAGCAACTTACAATTCAGTTTCCTTCGGGGAATATGTGGTAAAACTGATTTATGGCGTGCTGCATATCTGGTAGTGTGTCTCATTAGTATAACGACTCATGCATAGCTAGCGAATGTTGCATCAGTAAGGACATCTGTACATGCGCATGAGCAACAGATAGCAATCCACATGAACCTCTACCACTGTGTACCCCTGGTCGCGGGCTTACAGCATAGCGAAATAACTCTAAGGGTAGCCACATGCCTGGCTAGTCGACTAGAAGCATTTGTTGGCTGTTTGCAGGGGTATCTTCAGAAAGCTGTCGAAAGGTCACCCTTCAGGAAAGAGCGGAAAAATATTGAAGAAACTGTATAATTATCTAGTCAAAAGCAAAACGGTGGGAGGGAGCTACCTGGGTAAGTGTACTGTGGGATGCATGAAAGCAGCAGTGAAATACAAAGAGGGCCAGTGACAAGGGCCAGGACAAAAGGCTCAGGTTGCTCTGTCCCCCGGGCCACTGGTGACTTCTTTGCGTAAATGAAACTACAACGGAGATGCATGTTTGCATAATTTATATTTTCTCGTGCACTCGCGCGTAAAGAAAAGTACATTGCCTGTCTAGAAATATCCGAATTATTAACTCATCGAAGCGCACACATTTTTCCTTGCTATGGAGGTTTTCGATCTGTTTACTGCGTTGTCCTCTCGACCCCGGAGCTTACGGGGAGGTGAGCCTCTCTTTCGCCATATTGCCTCCTGTGTCAGGCAATCATCAAAGCTACAGCAGCAGTACTAGCAGTGACGACAACAGCCATTAACCCTTGTACAAATACACGTTAGTGGGAGGAGCCAAGATTGCAGCTGGACAGCAATCACAAGCACCACTGATCGATACAAGAACTACCGTGAAAGTTAATGGTGGGACGATGCTAGACGAAGACAACATGGGGATATATTAGCAAAGAAGATTACAGGATGAACATGAACATGCCTCTCTTCTTCAAGCAAATATGACAAGAGAGAAAACAATTTCGCTTTTGTGGAAATGAAGGCAATAACGGATCTTAATTGTAATGACGCTTATTTGGGGATGCGTTGCTTGGGTCTCTCAACCTTTTTGTTGCTTGATTTCTAATCACTCATGACCTTGTGTATTCATGCGCTTCATTACTTGCTTGACCAGTTCCCCTAGATATTGTCTTTTCTGCCCGCTTTCCCTCCTAACCTTGTATAATGCCGTTTGCTCTCCTAGGCTGTCTGCTCCCCTACAGGTTTGCTCTCTCCCTGGCTGTCGCCCTCCATTCCGCTATTTTCATCATTACCTTTTCGTGTCCAGCCCCTTTTCTATGAAGTGTTCCATGCCGCCTAGCCTCGAGTCTTACAGCCTTTTTGTCCTCTGCCTCTTATTTTTTACCTCCACTAATCTTTACACTTACCGATTTTGTTTGCTTAACTCAAAATTTTTAATAGGGACAATTTACAACAATGGAACACACAAGAGGGCAGAGAGAGCCTAATAAACATGACAGTAAGGGTGCGAATTGACTGTAATTTCTATCACTTCGTGTCTGCCTCTCGTAATCCTTCTTTGACCATCTCTTCTTGTGAGTATTTTGCCTTGCCTTGGCTGTTTTCATTTGTGTGCTGACCTGTCCACCTCTGATTCAATAAGGCTCGCTTCAGCTATGCCTTCTTACACACGGTGGAATACATTTCTTGCTTTCGCGTGGCTGTTCATGCTAGCCCATCAACAATCCATAATAATGTGGAGGATACCAAACAGAACTGGACTAACTGTCTCAAGGAAGGGCCGCGAAGGGGACACACTGTAGCGGACTAAGCTACACTTGAACTTTTTCTACACACTGGTTATAACGAACTAGGATTAGCTAACAATTTACTTAGAGCTTCATCTGATCGTACAACACTTTCCAGAGAGAAGAGGTGTTCGCTCGATGAACGAAGGAGAAATGTTGTATGCAAATGCGCTAGGTGCCACTTGCAACTAGCGGTGGATGCTCGAAGATATTTGAGAACTCAGCGACCCTTTCTGTCATTCTCCTTGCATGCCGGGAATCCTACGGTGTGTGGGCAGAGGAAAACAGGAGCTGGTATGAAAGGACTCAGTAACTACATTGAGTCTGGAGGGTATGTTCCCTTGGAGACCAGAGATGAAGCGTTGCATGCGTAGCGATCCCTTGCTCGATGACCACCGTAATCGGACCTCATAATAGCCCGTGAATAGTCTACGGAAAAAGCGAGGCCATGAGCGTGTTGTTGGGAATGCAAGTGCTAGAAAAGGCGCTCTTGGGATCAGTATTTTTTCCACGCTTTCATGCTCACTGGGCTGATTGGTGGACACCTGCACGTCAGAGTGCCGTGGCAATATCCTCTCGAGCTTCAAGACGATAGCCAGATTAAGGCACAGTCAACATGGCAAGGCTGGACGTTCGTCGAATATTGTCTCAGAATGCACTGTTACGTACCAACCAATTGGGGCTTTGGAAGGGTCACTTCACTATTGACCCAGTGAGCGCCTTGGCCCCTGAGCCTCCCGCACCTAGCTTCGAAACAAGTGTTTGTAGAAGCTTTTCATTTCTACCCATATTTACACCTAATCTACTTGCTAAACTTTACTTGGAATAAAGACACGCAAGTATCAAAGACGGCCATACACTTGCATGAACCTTAAGGCACTGAGTGCCCTACTACACTCTATTCGTGCACAAAATCCGTATTATATTGTTAATGCGTCTATCGTCTTTGCCTATAAAGCAACTGTAGATGTGAATGTGCTCTTCGCTGATTAAATCAGAGATCCTAGCCAGTTTCTTTGGCTTTGCGTGTTGAAGCGTTTGCGAGGCATGTGGCTGGGCAATGCTTGGTTTACCTCTTTTCTTGTTTATGCTGGGACACCCCAGGGTCAAATAGAAAGCTAAATAGCTTGCTAGCTTCCAGAGTCGTTTGCTGTTGGAACAAGGAGGAAGCCCCACAAGCATTTAGGCTAGGGAGCCAGCCTGTATCCCAGCATGTGAAGCACCCCAAGGAGTATAACCAAAGGAACTTAAGAACGGTGTCAAAGGCTGCTTAGTTACGACGGTGAGAACGTACATGGTTGCCCAGGACTTTCTTGGCAACTGCGCCCACCATCTCTTAAACGTTCCCTACTTTATGTGCCACGGGACTCTGGGCCCAGCGACAGGCCACCAGCTGTGGCCATTTGGGCAAGAAGTTGTAGTTGTGGACTCCTGTGTGCCAGATTTCTGTTGTAGTTCTACTGGCCTGTGGCAGTCGGGTGTTTAGGCTACTGGTGGGGCTGAGTGGAGGCTCTGGGGGTCTCAGTGGTCCGTTTGTCCCCGAAAATGTATTACCCGGTGATTACGCTGTATTGATAGGCGAACAATGTAGTATCACGAGCGATGGTGCAGGGTGCAGTGGTGTGTACTTTAACTGTTTTGTCCAGTTTTCTTGATTTTTGCTGTTATTGTAGCTGAGTAACCACAGCTTTTGGATCTCCGCCTACAGAGAAGCCTTGCATAGAGTCAGTCGCGTAGGGTTGGTCACTTCTTCGCTGTTAACAAGTGTCCATATCATTCCTACCATTGTGCCTGACGCACGCACATTTTGGTCCTGTTTTCCAAGCCTGTGGAGTGATAACAGCGTTGGAGCTCTTCCATCGTTCCGTCAGGAGACGGTTTCAACTGTCTGCAATGGAGGGACTCCGCGCATCATAGAGCATTTCCTGCATGGCAAAATCCGGCGCATGCAGTGTGGTCGATTTTAAAGCCTCAGAATGGCCACTAGGAATGATGCAGAACTACAGACACAAGACTGCTTGCTCATCAATCTGAATGTAGAGGGCACGTTGCCAATGATAACCGCAAACCACTCAAGCAATACCCATCGCTAAAGGTAGCTGTTTCGGGCAGAGCATGGCTGCGGCAGGACACTTAGCGAAAACCTCCAGGAATACCTTCGTTCAAACCTAGCATTGTTAGACTACCGCAAATCCTCCGAGAGGCCTTGCAGCCCTCAACTGTTCTAGTATATGCCAACGAGGCATGATTTCTGTCGCAGTTGGCCAGTAACAATTCTAGACGGCGTACAGACATAGTTGAGTCTGCGACTGCGACTAAAGCAACGCCATGTTGTGATGGCCATCGGAGCGAATAAGGATCTCGAAGAACACGTCTGTGGAGCCAGTCAATAGACTGTTAATCCGTGTAATTTGACATGTAGTCCACCACTAAGGGGCATCGGACACTCCTTGGCTTTTTGCATGTGCTTTCGTTTCTCGATCAAATTCTTCAGTATCTTCCAATCAAAGCAAGTGCGTTGTGGGTTGGCTGTCTGGGGAAGCTTAGAAAGACAGCTTTCTTCTGGCACTCTGTTCTCGTTCATTCAACCTAGACTGTTAGCAAGGGCTGCGTGACCTCCACGCCCCTGCCCCCTGCCAATATTCAAAGATTCTATATCTGAGATCGGCTTTTGCCTTCATACGCAAAGACGCAGGACACGTACTCATTTGCTCTTGAAGCTTCAAATAGTCCATCGGTCGTGTAATTGCCGCCTGCTCCCCAGTCAGATGTTATTTCTGAGGCATCGCCCATCCTATGACCATCTTATACGACACTTCGGGTACATATGAGATAGACCACTGAAAAAGCAGCTATATGACACTTCGGGTACACATGAGATACACCACTGATAAAGCAGCTATTCGTCCGAGTTGTGGATTCTACGAAGCAAAGTGCCATGATCCTTGATGGGCTGATTTACTATTCGGAATCCCGGGCTTCAGCCTTCTGTATTCCGTGAAAGGCTGCTGTTAAGCTGAACTAGGCATGTACCGAACATACACAGGCGTGAATTTAGACTTCAATCGGAGCAATGTTCACACGAAGCCTCCAGCCAATAAAATGCCCAGAGGAGCACTGATTTCTCTTCATCTAGGGGGAATAAACCAACTCATAAATCTTCGACTACTCTCCCATTCTTACGGCAGTCACACTTTTTTTGGTGGGCAAAACAAACTGAGGAAGGCAATATGTGCCTCTCTACCAGACTTGAAGCTACTGCGTGCGCGTTGACATCGGATTGCAGGCCACCTTCTGCCGTCCCAACAGGTGTTGTGCTAGTGCCAACATCCATTGCCGCAGACTTCTTCTCCTAGCCTGTCGCGGAAAAAGCTCAGATCCTTGGATTTGCAAAAACGTTTATGAAGGACAAGACAACTATCAGGGTAGAAACCTGACATCCTGTTACATCCACGCTCTGCATCGAACCATGTTGTGCGACCAACTGCCATGCTTTGTCTCCGTTTAAAGATGCTTGAATCAAGAATTGATGCAAACATAATTCAAATCTTTTAGAGGGTTAATCAAAAGAACACCCCGTCCCCCCACTACTTAGAGCTCCTGATATGAAAGGCGAGGGATCCTAGAGATAGATACTGCACGTTGCTGCATCCTCTAAGAACTCGGAGCGTTTACTGCTAGTTGCACGTACTAACGTACGAAAATGCACACAAGACTCTATCGTTTTGTATCGAGCTAACAGCAGTCTGCAACAAATAGGATACACGAACAAATTAACCCAGTTTAAGTATAACTAGTGCACTAGGAGGTGTCTGAATGTAGCTTGGCCCGCTGCATCATTACTTACATCCAATTAAGAACTGGGCTCGAGCTGACTACTTGCTTTCTATCGTTGCATATCCTCCGCCGTGCAAACTACTGTGAGCCTTACGAAATAAGGTGCAGTGTTATATGCGCGTGTGCTAGGTTTCATGTGCAAGTAACTGTGAATACTCGGAATGCTTCGAAGATGCAGCAACGCCAGCTTTGGTGACGCTCTCCCCTCATTCCGCTAACTCTGAGGGGCACGAGAGTGAGCAAGGCTGGAGTGCTCTTTATAAACACTCAACCACTTTGCATTATGTTTTGTGTTGGCTTCAGGGATTTTTGTCTCGATATGGAAACGCGGGTGGTGGACAGGGCGCAGCATTTATTACTGTAGACTGCACAAGTAGGCCTGTGCACTTTTAAAAGTCTAAAGAGAGGCTACCTGATGCACAAATTGCTCAATATCTTCGCCAGTGAATATTGCTAATATCAAAGAGAGTGCTTATGCACAGCTGCGCCTACTACAAACAACTATATTTACACAAAACACAGTGCACGGATGGCAGTAGAAAGAATTGCACCTGATCTGGCGCTGTAAGCCAGGAGTTCAGAACGCTGAAAGGCAAAGCCTGGACATCAGTGTGTGCACCTCGATGTGCCAGAACTGCCCTTGTGTAAAGGCTGATCCTGAAGAGTCGTCCCTAGGGAGAAGAGCAGCGCTGCAGTGATTGCCGCGCCCCCGCCTTCCTCTCTTGCCTTCCTCATGCACGTTTCTGACTATTTGACCTATTCTTAGTATTCAATGAAAAGTGCCGGGTGTGTGAAAGCTTCTCTGTCTAGTGCCCGTATACGACTCGAAGTGCATGCGCACGCCAGCCTGGGGGCTTTGTGGTATAGCCGATTTTCTCTCCAATTTCCCTAAATTGCTCTCAGACTTAAAATCTCTCGGCGAATATTGCGGGAGTCCGAAAATGACGGTCTTGTGTGTACGTATGGGGGCCCTTCCGCCGGTGCCTTCCAGGGTGTCCACAGCAGTACAGAGAAAAATTGAAGCAGGTGATTTCTACGACGCCCAACAGCTCGTAAAGACTTTTGCTAGCAGGTAATTGACATCTCCATACAATAACAAAATGGCAGGATACTAGAGAAGTGGCTCCACCATGCATAGGGGGGAACCCCCAAGACTGCGTGGAAATAGGGGGTTCCCCGGCAAGCCTAAACAAAAAGGGAGGCCTCGAAAACCCCAGAACCCTCCAGGCACTGGCCATATATCTACCCTTTTTTCAATGTCTGATTCAAAATTTTGAGAGCTGCGTCAGCCTACGAGTGGATCCATTCCAACTCGATTACGTCTCCATACCTCACTAGAAGCTTCAGGTCAGCTTCTAGGTCAGTTACCGTATCTTGTAAAAACGAGCGAGGTGGTTCTGTGTTTGATGCCTTGCAGATATAACACCAAAGGGCAGCCTGATGTCGCAGTGTCTATTTGCCTAGGCTTCGCCCCCCAGTTTGCTGGTCAGTTCCTTGCACCCCGAGGTTTACGAATGCTATTAGGGCTGAGCCCCCTTGGTGCCCTAAGAGTGCTTCAACTCCTCATGAAAGGCCTAGTTTCCCTCCGACAGTAAACCTATGCTTGCGAGTGCACTAGGTTCCCCAGTGTCTCGACAGGGGATGTCTCTAGCCTGTGGTGCCCTTGTACTTTAATGTCTAGGGACCTTTCAAAGCCACGGGCGGCGTATTCGAGGCTATGTGCACATTCAGATCCATGTTCTTACGTCAACGTGTCGGTGTTGACTGTCGGGCCTGTGTGCGTCCTACAGAGAAGCACCGAGGTGCTTTGACGCTCGACTTGGCGTATGCTGCTATGCAGTACCTACAGCAGCAGGAGGACCCCCCAACTGACGAACAGCTCGAAGTGGTGAGGCCATGTGTGTGCTCCTGAATGGTAGGAAGCCGCGGAAAACTTCACAGGAAAGGTCTATGGGAGCCAGCGGGAACCTGAGCAAGCCTTTTCAAAGCACTAGATATCTTCTGTGTTTTCTGCGTCAATCACATGATAAGCCTGCTCATTTTTACATTTCTCCGCAAGAGTTCAGATTTTATTAGTGCCTTTTGCAGTTTTCCCGCCTGTCTCCGTATATGTCGACCTTTCTGTTTCTCTGTGTGCGCCTGTATTTTTTGCTGAACATCTATCTGCAACTCCTGCAAATATCCATGGGGTATTGGTGGGATCTTCTGTATTCTTCCGCAGTTTCCTCAAACGATTTTCCTAGGGAGCTTTACATGGCTCAGCTGCATGCATTTGTCGGTAGTTCCACTCGTGTGGCTTGGACTTGTGCGACTTCCTGTACAGATAGCATCTCTGCTTGGCATAGCAACAAGCAGGCCAGAGGGAGGTCCCACAGTCAAGGACGTATCCCGCTATGTTAGCAGGTAATTCGTCCTATGCAGGAAACCGTAAACTTCGGTTCTAAACCTTCTAGCACCCCGTGCATGCATGCTTATGTACATGTTTCACTCGGCATGCTCTCCTCAGTGTGTATATTGCGTTTTTCAGTGCCTGCCTGCCTTTCAGCGCTCTAAGTCGTGCCTCTGCTGAGCTAATGTCTCTTTATGGGAATCACTGACCTGCTTCTACACTACCGCGACGAGTGCTGTCATGACTATTATTTCGGGCGCAGCGGGGCAAAGTGTGTCATCATGCACGATTTTGGAGAGCTAGAATATAAGCACTTGCATTCAAGGCCTTGGTTTTGCGCAGTGCCGTAAAATGGAGCCTCCGCATTCCGAATAGTACTGTGGGCTCTCTGCTGATCCACAACAAAGCCGCCATTGCGTATTCCAGACTCGGAAATTACGGCCTCGCTCAGGTACTGCGATCGTCTTGGCCTTCCTTCGACCCCCCGTCTCTTCCCTGTGCCCTTCCCTCTGCTTTATTGTGGATGCGTGTGTGTCTGTTCACATTCTTCTTCTGTTCTCTCCAACTTTTCCCCTGTGTGATTCTCTGGTTCCCTCACTTGCTTTGCCTCCACCAATTTCGTCTCCGTACGAGTGCCGCTTCGTCCCCAGACATTCTTGTTCCTCTTCTGTTGATCTTACCACTCTCACTGAGCTGCTGCTGCCCTGCTTATTCGAGTGCCTCGTGTGGGCATAAGGAGACGCACCCTATGTTTCGAGTACCGTAACTTTGTTGTGTACGCATACGTACAGGGCCACTGTATTTATGGAGGCGACAGCCATGCCATGGCCGAAATTGTGAGCCTCTCTGCCGATGGATGCTTGGTAATGTGTCTTTCTTGCTGGCTGCAATTATACTCTTGGCTGCTTCCCAGCAACATTGCGGGCACGTCAATACGCAAATGTGCACCTCTAGGCGCATTGCTGCTTCTGAATGGAAACGTCAAACTGGCATATGCGTGCGCACATACGTATATAATACTCTTACTACGTATGATATCCGGGATGTACGCGTCCATATGGATAGACATGCGGGGTGCGGTTGCTTGCCTGTTTGTTCGTGTGCTCCGCAGTTACGCACTTGGACGCCACAGGGTTATCCAAGCGAGTCGGGATTCTTTTGGCTGCGCGCAGTGTTGATGCTGCTGTGCGTAAAGCGTACGGACGTTGCAGAGTCCCTGCTCATGAATCACTCTGATGTTGACTGGTCCGGCTTAGAATCCGTGCCTGCCCCTCTACAGGTAGCATATCTTTTAGTTGCTGCGTGCAAGGCCGGAAGCATCAATGCTTTTAACCTCATCCTGAGGAAGTACAATGTACTGCTCCGAAGGGACCCCTTTTTTGCTCGCTGTGCTGACAAAATCAAGCTCGAGGTTTTTGGAGTGGCGAGACCACAGGCACTCTCGCTATCCAGCCTCTTCTCGTTATTTACTCAGCCAGCCGCAACTATAGAGTCTGCGTAAACATCCAGCCCCAAACTGGGGTGCTCTACACATGCCAGGATTTACAAAACTTTCACTTGCGACCTTTTGTGTATCCTGAAGAGCTCCAATGGCTTGCTCTACAAGGATACTCAGGGTTGTGGTTCCCACGTGGCAAAGCTGCTGCTTCTGTATTTGCTGCCTCAGGCGTTAAGCTGCGAGTTTCCACTTGTTTTTAAGATAGGCATTCGCGTCTGCTCCTGTAGTAGCATACGAGTGTATTTACATATATTTATATATATGTATATATATATATGTAAATACACTGCGAAAATCTAAGTTGTAGAAAGGAGGAAAGAGTGTTACCTAGTTGTACATACTATGCGCTTCCTATGTAGAAATACATTGGAATATACACTGTGTGTACATTTATATGCATGTTCATGTATTCAATTCGCTGCGTGCACACACTTGTCTGAAGCTGCAGATATCTTCGTCACTAATATGCCGCTTTAGTGCGGGCGCGAGCTCCACAGCTCGGCACCCTTTCACTTACGTAGCGCTGTCTCTTGCGTTCATTAGAGCCTCTGCGTGTTGAATTTCGACATTTTCAAATGTACGCGTTAGGAACCTCCAAGAATGCCTTTTGTCGACAATGTTTGACAGGCATCCACTTGGATTTCTACCCTAGGCGCTAGTGTGCAGACTCTTGAGAGTTTGCTGCATGGACTTGGCCTCTATTTAGAGACGTCACAGACTCCAAGCGGTCCAAGTCATACACAATTGCATCCCAGCACAAAGGCAGACATACACCCTTCAGTCATCCGCAAGCTTCGACATATCCGTCGAAACCTGTCACTTCTGCGTGCCTCACACATGCTTTTTTCTGCGCTCCTATTGTTGCTTTTCCTTGAGTTGCAAAAGTCGCTGTTTCAGAGACTGCTGCAGTTGAAGGAAGCCCTCTGGCGGGATATCGGTAGATATCGACAGCACAACAGGCCATCCCACACTTGCACCTGCAAGAGCAAATTAAGTGCAAATATCACCAAACTTTGACCCCTAATTAAGATAGACCACATGAAGCATTCTCCCTATAGCCAGGGAGCAGGAACCGCTCCTCTGTCGTAACACAGTTGAACTAGAACTGCCTCTTGTGCACCGAGGCAGATCCCGATGTTCTCAATAGAGGGCAAGGGTTTAAGGCGTAGATCATGGCCTCACTTAGTTTGGATGCAAGGGCTTCGCTCACACCGTTAACCGAGGAGGAAAACAGGACGGAAGAAAAGGCAGTGACCTGAGCCAGCAGCGCACGCCTGTGGATTACGGCCTGAAATGGAAATGCAGACATACAGCTTGGGGTTTGCGATGATAAGGGATTACGGCTTACCTGGTTCTCTGGAACGATAGCCATCGCTAATTCTGAGAGAGTTGGAGGTGTTTCTCCAACCCAAACAAAGAAGAGGCCCTTGCAGACCACAATGAGCAGTTTGAGAGGTTCCCCCCCTTTTCCTAAACCCTCAAGGGTATCTCTCTCCACTGTGAACAACCCCTGTGCGGCGTCGCAGCTGCTACTATCAAGGCTACTGCTGCAGCTGGGGATTGTGGTGGTGGTGCTGCTGCTGATATTGCTGGGGGTACACAAACTGTTGCACTGCTGTGCCTCCTCCATCTCTTTGCGCCCTCAGACAACAGACTAAAAACCCACAATCTTAAGACTCCCAAATCAACAAAAACCTCTACCCCTGTATCCGCAAGAGTCATGGAAGGCTGTCTTGACGTCTTCTTTTCGTGTGTGCATCTCTAACAAATTCTTAAATACTGAACTTGCAACCAGCCTGTGTGGAAAGCAGCCCCTAGGTAATCATGGCATTCGGGAGAATGTACTTCTAAGGAAGCAGCAACGCATTTTACAATATTCTTTATTGATGCGAACTTTCCTGTCTTTTACCTCACCCTATAGCATCAAGGCACCCCCTGTGCACCCCGCCGGTGATTCGGGGCCCACAGTGGAGGGCCCCCCTGGCAGCAAGGACGGTGCTTCAACAGGATGATATATATATATATATCTACAGAGTTTTATCATGACTAACTTCTCAGTCTCTCGTAAAATCTGCATATTGATGGTGCTGCTGAAGTTTTGTGTGAAGCTGGACTGTTTCTTCACGGCTTGCAAATCGAAGCATCGGGGCAGCAGCTGCGAATTTTAAAACACAAGGCGTGGGGTTTCTCGCTGGATATTTGGGATCTTGTGTTTTTACGTTTCTTTCATTAGGCTCAAGGGCCCCTAAAGGGGTCCCATGCAATTCTGAACAGTCAAGACGTGGCGCTGGCCTACAGGACAGTGCCTGCCCACCTCGTTGAAGGGGGCTCTCCAGTCCATCCACAAGCAGAACCAGGCTGCGTGGGTGCTGCCACCGGAAGCGTAGCAGCAGCCTTAGTTGTTGGTCCTGCGAAGATAGCTGCACAAGGGCTTACACGCACAGTTTTGTCATCCGGTGTCTTTCAACAGCAACAGCAGCAACAGCAGCAACACCGGTACCCCCAAAGGCACCGCCAGGATCTGTGCTCCTAGAAACAGCGACAATCGCAGTTTTATCAGGAGCAGGATCAGCGGCAATGGTAACACCAATGTCGGATGCACCAGGGCCTGCCAAGGCGAGCTTCTCGTATTTCGCAATCCACGATGAAACACCCTGCGTATCGGGATCTGTGGAGGCCGCTCTCAGGGGTATTTAAACTCTTGACCCTCTAACAGCAAATCTGAAACCCTGAACTCTGAGTTCTTGGCAACGAACAGATGCAGCAGGGCATTGATCCTTGTTTGCAACAAACCCCGCAACCACACCGATTGTTTTGCGCTTTGCTATGAATAAATATCTCTATGTATCTATATGATTCCGAGCAACCTATCTCCACGCTTCTGATGCTGCATCTATTGTCATCAGGAGGCCTATGCGGATTTCTTCTGGGATCGGCATTCGCCAAAGTGGTTCTTGCGGCTCCTGAGGGGCCCCCCCCAAATCCTCGAGGCGCTGGCGTCTCTCTGAAGCAGGAGAAGGAGCTACTTACTCAAAGCAGGTGGCTGATGTTGTTGGCCTCAAGGCATCGCCTCTACGAGGCGCAGCAGCGAAACTCGCAGCTGCTGCTGCAGCACAGAAGATTGTTACTGCGTGTGACAGAAAGCACTAGCGCAGTGACACCCGCTGCCGCTGCTACTCCACGACATCCACCAACCAGCAAGCGCGTGAAGAGTCTCACAAGTAAGTGGCCTGCAGCAGGGGACTCTCCATGGCTTAGCCAGCGCCAGCAGCTGCTGCAACAGGAGCAACGGCTGTTGCAGCAAGAGCAGCAGCTGTTGCAGCAGCAGTTACAGCTCAAACAGCAGCAGGCAGCCTTGCACCCCGCTTTTCTTCGGCGACTTCGCGCGTTTCTATCCAACGGCAGTGGCAGCTCTCATAGCACCTCTTCGAGTGGCAGCCAAACGTTTTTAGGGGAAGCTTTGCGACAGCAGCGGCTGCTCCTGCACAGCCGTCCTTTTGCTGCGCTTCAATTCGGCCGATGGATGGGCTTCCGCATCGGGTGCCTTTTTTGTAAGGCTGTAGAGACCGCTACGAAGCGACACTTGCTGAGTTTGATTCTGCCACTAAGTTGTGTTGTTGTCTCACTTGCTGTTGCTGGAACTAGCAGCTGCCCTCGTGTTTCAGGTGCTGTCATGTGCCTCTCTGGCTGTGCTTGTTTGCTTCCCTGAATATGCAGCTCTTTGTGATGCTTCGCTAAACGTGCAGCCCTTTGTGGTGGAGCCCGTAACATCCCTTTCTCTTTCTGTGTTTCTCCTGCTCCCTCACTCCCTTTTCCCAGTGCCTCTATAGCAACATTGTCGTATTGGGCATTCTCCCTTTCATTCTTCTCTCGTTTTCCGCCTTTACGCCTCCCTCCTGCAAACCTGTGTGTTCAGTTGCGTGGCTGGGGGGTCGGGTTGCGTGCGTGTTGGATTCAGTGTTGGAGTCTACTCTGTACTGCGTGCTAGAGAGAGATCTGCGCCTCTCTCCTCTGATCGTCCGGCCAGCGACTTGGGGATTTGTCGCCCTCTACTTGTGAGGCATAGCTGCCGTTCTTATCCCTACTGTTTCCACAGCTTCTGCTCCACACCCTCGTGATCTTGCACGCGCAGCAGGTGCAACCGACGCTTGCGGGTTCCCTTGTCGTGGTGTGCTTGTGGTTTGCTTTTTTAGGCATCGCTCCTTCCTAAATCAGAAATCCATTTTCGCTGCGGAGGGAAAGAAAGCCAGCACCAGGGCCCTCTTAAAAGGGCTTTTGAGGCCCTCCTTTGCCGTCCCTCAATTCAAGCAGTCTTTTCTTATGCTTGTTGCTGGGCGAGCCCTTTTTGACTTCGCCACTGCAGCAGCGGCAAGCACTGTGAGACTGACGGCTGATGAGCATCAGCAGTAGCTCAGCTGCTGGTTGTTGCTGCAACAACACAACGGGAAACCCCAGTGCTAGGAGGCAAGCCCCCAAGCACGCCACCACAGAACTGCGCTCTTGAGCACCAAGAGACGCCGGGGCCCCCTGTAGGATAGCGGGAAAATACCGCTTTGGGGCCTTTTTTTCCGCCTGTTGAAATTCATTCGTTCCATCTTGACACTCCCTTTTTCGTTCACCCACTTGCCTCTTACCGCCCATCGCCGTACATGATCCTACCTGGCCCGTCTTTTTTGCAAGTGCTGCAACTGCCCCAGCACCCTCCCCCAACTCCGCCTTGGACTCCCTCTTCTCTATCTGTGTCTCTGCTTTGTGTCTAGACCGCAAACAACTCTGTCATTTTCTCATCTTTCTGAACTGCCTCCTTACCGGCTCCTCTACTTTTGTGTCTCCCAGTGTACACTTCTGGCCGTTTCTCCTCCGAGCAGCACCAAGCTCCACTTTCAGGCGGATAACTATCTGGTGGCTCTTTGATCCGAAAAACCTCTTTGGAGCCCCTAGGGCCGCTGACCTCCTTCCCTCATGCCCTCATCACGCGCGCGTAGCAGCAGACACTCAACTAACTCCCTAGTTCAGACCACGAAGCCCCTAGGGGCGAACGGGCTCAGCATCACAAACTCACAGGGACCACCTCAAGAGTCCGTGTCACAGCAGAAGTGTGCATTCTGTCTGGCGGCTCTGGCAATTGCTCTAGTTACCCTTATGCTTAGATCTGCCCGTTCGCTTGTTTTTTCCTAGCTTATGTGGACTTTTGTATATACATCTAGATGCATGTATGCATACTCCTAAACATATATATGTGCACATATGTATATATATATGCGAACAACCATATGTTCATGCATTGAGATACTGCAGTGAGCTGCTTATATCTGTCTTGTATATAGGTATACGTAAACTACGCATATGGTTATTATGTGCATCTACTAAAACGTATGCTTGCGGGGATACATTTACATATATGCCCGCATGTGGTACATACTTGTAATGTATAGGTGTTTACATCTACACCTTGCAGATTCCGGGAAGTGTGTACATCCAGCTACGTGCAGGCACATAGCTAGGTGTACGTATGTGCGTATACGTGTATAAAACGGTATACATATGTGTATTTGTTTGCATGCGCTGATGTATACCATGTGCAAAACTATACACATATTCCTTAGAGTTTCCTCTGATTTATCCCTCCCAGTGGAAAGGTTCAAACGGCTCCGGCTCCTTTTCCTCAGAATCCCGTGCCTCCACGTACGTCTCGGGTTCGTTGGGGCTGTACGCAAAAAGCCGCATGCAAACAAGGAGCACATACGAGGCAGGGACAGAAAGCTAAACGAATACCACAGACGCAAGTTCGAGGTATGAGGGGGCATGAGGTTTTACCGTTTATCTTCGAGCACTACAAAACCAGAGAGAGGCCCTCCTAGGACCCTTTGGTATCGACAATTCGGTGGAAAATGCAAATACGGCTCTTGAGCTGCCAATACTCGGCAAGGATTTGTCAGTTCCAGCTGAGGAGATGCAGAGACAGGCGTCTTCTAGGGTATAAAATAAGGGCAATGTAATCAAGGGCATCGTGTCACTGCATAAGCAAAGAACGTGCTTGGAAACTAAAATTCGTTAGTTGGATGCAGCTTAATGGTTGCAACAGGTAGCGTCGTGCTGGGGGGGGGGGGGGGGGGGGGGGGGGGCCGCAGCTGCGGGTGTGGCGGGGGGGGGGGCCCTATATCCGCCACTGCAGGCCGAGCAGATGCAGCTGCAGCATCTGGAGGCGTCCTTCGAAAGCCTCGAAGCTCTTGATGCGCTTCTAAAAGCCTCTGAGGAGGCACTCACGCGGCTGCGACTGCCTGTAGCGGCAGTCGGCCTACCCGAAGTAGCAAGT